CAAGAGTTTGAGCTCTGAGCAACAGTGGTTCGAGTCAGCCCGAGCTGAGCAGCCGTGAGCTACCAACAGGTGGCGGGATGGCTCAGCTAAAAAAAAAAAAAGAGCCTGGGGCTGGAGAGAGTTACCAGAGGGCCAAAGGGTGAGGCGATGAAGTTGAGGAAATGAAGGCGAGGGCCTGGGAGAACAAGAGGTGGAGGATGACTGTGTGCCTAAGTGATGAAGATGCCACGGTGCTGAGCAAAGGGGGAATTCAGTGGGAGTAAAGGGTCAGCTGGGCTTCAGGGCCTGCTGAAAGCCTTCAGCCCCAGGACCTGTGGGCACGGTGGCAATGCCAAGGTCTGCCATCACCAAGTCCTCGTGAAAGTTCTAACCAAGAGCCCAGAAGCCTCAGTCCCTGGGTGTGAGGATGACTTGAGCTGGTTTTGCCACAAGGGAGAATCCCAGCTTGGTACTTAGAGGTACCTTAGATAGCTGACATAAATAAATACATAAATACATAAATAAATAAATAAATAAATAAATAATAATAATACATACATACATACATACATACATACATACATACATAAATACATAAAGCAGGCACTCTGTGTGTGAGCGTGCTTCTCCACCAACATTGATTTTGAGCTTTTAGTTTTAGGAGATCAGATAGCAGAATACCTCAGATTTTGGGTTTTTGAGTCAATCCTGAGTTGAAGTCTGGATCCTCTGCTTACCAGCTGTTTGGCTTTGGGCAAGTTACTCAACCCCTCTGTGCCTCTTTCCTCATCTATATAGGGGGACACCATCTACCCCTCAAGATGTCAAGAGCAAGGACTAAAGCGAGGTGCTCTATGTAAAGTACAATGTCTGGCACACAAGGTATGGCAATTAAGTCTGCGAACTTGCCACCATGCGCTTATATTGCCAGCACTGTACAAACAGCTCATTCAGGTTTCGTAACCTTGGTATACCAGTGTCTCACAGCTGTGTTTTGTCGACGTGTGCTGGTGTCTTGCTGAGTGGCGTTCATTATTGTTGTTGCATATTTTTGTGGGTCATCGCGAGAATGTCTGAGTTTGAATTAGAGCAACGAACAAACATTACATTTTTTTGTTAAACTTGGCAAACATGGAAGTGAAATCAGGAACATGTAGTCCAAGTTTATGGGGATACTGCTATGAAGAAAAATGGTGTACAAATCAATTAAACATTTTTCTGAGGGGAGAGAATGCTTCACTGATGAAGAGAGGCCAGGGAGGCCAGAAACATCAATAGAGAAACAGTTAGGAAAATCTTTTTTTTTTAAATTAGTTTCAGGTGTATAGAGCAATGTAGTAGTTAGACATTTAAACCCCTCATAAAGTGATAACCCACCCCCCAAGCTACTACCCCTCTGACATCATATACAACTGTTACAATACCATTGACTATCTTCCCTATGTTGTACTCCACATCCTGTGACTATATATGCCCATATATTTAGTTATAGTTGACATTCAATATTATTCTACATCAACTTCAGGTGTATAGTGCACTGAACAGTCTATGAAGTGATCCCCCTGATAAGCCCAGTGCCCATCTGGTACCTTACATGATCTTTACAACAATGTTGATTATAGTCCCTATACTGGATTATCTACCAATTTGTATTTCTTAATACCTTCGCATTTTTTACCCTGCCCCCAACCCCATTCCCATCTATCACTCTGATAGATCTAGTACCTATCTGGTACCATTCCTAGTTATTCCAATATTATTATTATTATTATTATTATTATTATCATTATTTAAAGATTTTATTGGGGAATTGGGAGAGGGGAACAGTGTTGGGGAATCGGGGAAGGGGAGCAGACAAGTTGCTGTTCTTTTGTTCTTCAGTCTAGTTGTGGAGGACGTTGCTTCACTGGCCCATGTTGGTATCATCATTGCGCTCTTCCCGGGTGAGGCAGATCACTTGCCGGCCTCTGGACGGCTGCTCACAGCGGCTCTTGGCAGCTCACACTGGCTGCCGGCCGCTCATGCTGGCTGCCGGCTACACATGGCAGCTTATGGCAGCCCACTGCAGCAGGGGCTGCAGCCTACGCTGGCGACTCACGGCAGCCCAACTCCAGGTCGAGCTGTTGTTC